ATTCTCTTCTCTGAAAACTAAGGAATGGACATAAACTGGGCCCAGTGCAGAGAAGTACCTACCTTACCATGTTTCCTATGAATCTAGAAACCCTGGATTGTTTTCCTCTCTGCATAAACCATATCAATGCATAGTTAGTAAGCTACTTGTGTCCTGCAAATCCTCTTGTATATCCTAGTACCTACATCTCTATTATTTCCAAGTGCAAGATGCAATGAATTGTATGTTTTTCCACATCTTCTCTTTTTTCATTCTAAAACTCACTTCCAGTCAAAGCTACTTTCTCAATGTCCAATCTTCCTTAAAAAATAAGCTGACCTATGTAGTCTCTATCCTTCAGAATCTTATAAGATTTGGCTATAGCTGGAGGAAAAACCTAGAAATATAGTTAACCTCAGGTGAAAACAAGAAAATTAAAAGTAATCTGTTTTCTATTATGGGCAATCACCCTGTTTACACCATCCCTATTTATGCATTATCCTTATTAGCAATTCAAGGACAGTAACCATATTGTATTAGTTACTCAGAATTTAGCACAGTGTATGATATACCAGTTAGAATTCAGGAAATGTTTACTCACCCAAATTAAACTTTAAGAGTGTAAAATGTGATTTGATCAGATAGTCTCATTGTGGAAGTTGTTAGTCCATGTGACTTTGGAAGCTAAAGTAGCTTATCCAAGAGGGTGCTATTTAGCATAATAAACTAAACCTGACAGACAGTCCCAGTGCAAGGACCAATTTATAATGATTTATTTAGGAAAAAATAAATGACAGCTGCCACACACTACATATACCACCTGAGCAACTCTGCCATCTCAGTGTCTGATCAGACTTGGCTTACAATTATAAGAGTATGGAAGCGTAGAACTGTCAAGAATCTGAGAGATTATCTACCCAACACCTCAGTTTAAAGATAACAGAACAAGGTCCTGAGCAATAAATAATTGGCCTCAGGCACAAAGCTAGTTAGTGTCCTTGATTAAGACTCAGTTTTCCTTTCTTCCCACAATACCAAGTAGTTTACAGAATACACACTTAATAGATGGTCACTAAGGACATTATTTTGCATGTAGTATAAGCAGTGGTTCAACTCTGGTTGAATGATAGAATTTTCTCTGTAGCTTTTAAAGAGGTGCATGCCTGGGCTATATCCTTAGAGATTCTGATAGTGAAGCTAGGGCTTGGTGACAGTTGAATTCACTGCCAATTTCAGCAATAACCGTTTCTAATATTGCAAAACTAACCATGTCTAATAGAATTTTCTAAATTGTTGTTGTTGTTGTTGATGATGATGATAGGGGGTGGTTCTCATTAGAAGAATATGTTCTAACCAAAGAGACTCCAGGGTCAGTAGACCTAGGTCCTAACTGTCACAAACTAGCTTCTTGTTAAAACTATGTCCAAAAGAAAAGACAAGACAGAAGATGATCAATTTTTCTTAAGCAGAGGAGGGAAATGGAGTCCCAGCACTGATGCATTCTAAGTACTTATTGAGTACCTACTATATCCTGGTACTACTGCACTACGTACTAAGGATGTAACTGTGGAAATAGACAAGGTCATGGCCCTCATGGATCCTACTGTTTTGTGGAACTCTCTGATATAAAGGGTCTATAAGAATTGTCAAGTGAGCAGTTCTCAGCAAAGTCTTGTACAAAGACAGAGGATCCTAAATAGTATGATGTGAAGAGAAATGCATGCACTTCCCTACTGATAACTGTTAGTGTCTGGGAATGGTGAGAGATGATAGCACTTCAGAGAGGGCTGTCTTTATTGTGTGTGCCAAGAAACTTTAAGGTCAAGTTTCCAGATTTTAAAGTATGAAGTCCTGAATCTTGTTAAAAATGCAAATTTGCAGACATCATCCCCAGAGAATCTGATTCAATAGGTTGAAAAGGAGCCCTTGCTTGCACCTGCCTTTTTAAACCAGCACATCGGGAAATCTCAAACAGGTGGTAAGAAACTCTGCTGCAGATGAGGCAAGCTGTCTCAAGAGCAGCTACCCATTTTAGAAAGATCACTGGTCTTGAGTTCAGGCCTCTAGACCCCTGCCAGATTCAGCTCCCTCTCCACTGTTCCCCACCACTTCTCTTGTAACTCTTGTCCATGCACAGAATTCCACTCAAACACCCTGAATTCATGCTAGCTGCAGCAGCTACAGTAACAAAAATTAGATGAATTCTTACCAGTGATCACAAAGTGGTGTGTCTACACTGTGAAGTCAAGTCAGGGGAGAATTGGGGCATACCTGGACAATTCCATAGGGAAAAAATCCAGACCTATTTCCCTGAATGGGAAAATCCAGTGAAAAGAGTTGATCCAAACACCTTAGCTACATACTGGCCTAAAGAGAAAGTACTGCAGTTGAATACATTAGTTCCTATCAAAGAAGAAACAAAGCAAATACTTAGAAAGCCAATGAAGCCATTAAAAATTCTGGTCACTTCTATAAAACCTCAATCGTGTTTTGTTTTGTTTTCCCCCCCTCAAGCTATCATGATTACTACCCAAACCAATGAACTGTGTTTCTAAGCATTAGAAAATCAGCAGCCTACGGTGGCATACTGTGTGTGGGATTGATTGGGTTACAGTATTTTAAAAGAATGTGAGGTACTGAGTCATTATTTCAATATTGTTTAAAAATTAATTAGAACTTCTCAGAATGGTTTCAGAATGTCAAGGTTTAATTAACATTTATTTAATAGATCCTTAATGTGACCTTCTTTGCAGAAAGCCTGTGGATTTTTTAGCATTTAATAGTCTAGTGGGGAAGAGGAAGAGTGGATTTTTATTTTTATTGGAGAGCTGAAATACAAACATTGTCTTTTTATCACGTTAGTAACTCTTTGTGTTGCAGGTAAAGCATTATTAATTCATGTCCAATGAGAAATACAGAAGACTTTTGATGATGTAGCAAAAACTAAACTATAAAAACCTCCATCTGAAGGGAAGGGGAGGAGCAGATCGGTCCTTTAGATGAAAATATATAATTCAAGTGAATGGCTGAAAGTATAGCTTGTTTATTTCCTAATATTCAAAAAGAAATGCCTGTATTAAATTTCAATCCTTTGTGGGGGAGGAATTATTTTAAAATGTAGAATCTTTAAAGCATTTCTGCCTTCATTTTATTCTTGCCTGTGTGTAGACATTTGCCATTTAGGATATGTGAATGTCAAGCCAGTTCTTGTCAATAATGAAAATAGAAAACCCCTTTAACCCCTCCACATTCATTTTGGTGAACAGTTTTTATAATGCATTAAACCAAGGTTAAGTTTTCTTGTCGATTCTGATCTCTACACTCTCAGAATCCATTTCCCATGCTGCTTGGTGAAGCTTCCTAAGATGATTCTTTATTAAACAACACCTTAGCAGCAAAAGCAGGTTTGATGCAAAGTGAATTTAAGTGCGAATATTCTTTATAACAAACACAGCCTCTTTTCTCCCACAGTGAGACTCTCTCAGCTAATCCCCTGCAGACACTTCCCGCAGTTCACACGGGGGAAATAGTCACCCCTGTCTCAAAATGTAAACAAAGGAAAGCTCTCTTTGCTTAGGCTTCTCCTCTGTAAGACTATTATATGCTCCAAACACTCTCCCATGTTTATGAACAAAAACATAGTTCCCTTAAGCTCTCAGAAATGTTTAAATATTATGTGTATCATCACATGTTCAGACGCTGACACTGCTATTATTTCACATGACCACCAATTGACTCCAACAGGAGTCATTTCCAGAGAACGGCCATTATTATCTACATAGCAGTAAATTACTGCTTGGAAGACACCGTTTCTATATGGCTGCACTACTGGAAATTATACCCAGCTCCATCTTGTAATATTGTCTTAAATGACTAGGTAGAGTCCTTACAACACTGTGTCCCCAGTAATATTTCAAATGGTGTTCAGACAGCTCTGTTCACCTGATAGAAGTAAAGATCCAGCCCAAAGAAAAATACTATTATTATGCCATTCTGCAAATATTATCACAAACAATAACATGCAGCAAAGAAATCAGTTGTTATTGTGGATTAAAACTGAGAGATCTGACTGTGGAGCTTTGGTTCAACCTCACCCTTTTTCCCACCCATCTGAACATTCCCTAGACCACAGTAAACCATCTATACCTAGGAGCTCATCCCCTCCTACCTGTTAGCATCTTGGCTCTATTATTTCTTCTTCATCTTTTAGCCTCTGTCTCTCCCTCTGCACTGCTGCCTTTCCCTCTGCTAGAGACTTTCCCATCAAAAAATAATCTTTCTTTGACTCTGATTTTCCCTTTAAATGACTATCCCATCTCTCCCTTTACCCTCACTTCACAAATGAGAGGCAAATGCTCAATAAATATTTATGGATTAAATGAGTGAAAAAAAATCCTTTTCCCTATGGCTTCATCTCACATTTACTCCTCATTCCACTGCAATCTAATGAAACTACTGAGCCCACTCCTCTACTAAAACCAGTCTCCAGGGGTAGCCGATAATTTTCTAATTTAAAAAATCCATGAGTTCTCCTTGCCCTTCATTCTACTTGACCTCTACTACATTGCTAACCAACCTCTATTATTAATATTCCCTTTCTCAAGTTTCCTTACAATATCATAAGATTCCCCATCCTTACATCACCAACCCTCCCAAACTCGTTGGTGACCCATTTTTCTAACCCTTCCCTCTACTTACTCTATGCTCTTCCAACAGGATTTCTCAACCACTGGCCCAATTTCAACTACCTTCTCTGTCAGCATCTTTCAAACTTATAATCTGTTCCTCATTTTTCTTCTATCTCTCAGAATTGCCTTTCTAAATTCCTTTTGTACCTCTCTTCACAGATGTCATGTTGGCACCTCAAACTTGGTAGATCCAAAACAGAACCCAATCTGCCCTCCCTCCCATTCTTAAGCCTGTTTTTCTTCTGTGTTCCCATGTTAATGAATAGAAGCACCATCCTCTTGGTTACAAAGGTAGAAACTTTAGAGTTTTTTTGAGGCTGCCATCTCCCTTACCTGCAACTTCACTCAGCTTCAAGTCCTGTTGATGCTGTCTCTGAAATGTCCCTTGATTCTGCTCCATATTTTCCATTCTCCTTGCAACTGTCTTACTTCAAATTTCTATAATCCTTCAACTAGACCATTACAGAAGGCGATTAAGTGATCTCTCTGCCACCAGTCTCATCCTTCTCCAACTCATTTTTTTCATAGTAATAGACTAAGTTCTCTGACAGTAGGCATGTCTTTGTCACCTTTGTATTTCCCAGCACGAGCACTCAATACATATTTGTGGAACTGAACTCTCACTGCCAACGATTATCTTCCTAATCTAAAACACAAATCTGATCCTGTAAATTCACTGCTCCCAAATCTTCAGTGACTCTTGCTACAGAAAAAAACAAACAAAAACTCAGCATGACATTCAGAGTCCTCTGTAGCCTGCTCTGAACCTACTGCTTTATCTGATCTCCTACCATATGTCTCCCGTCTACTTGCCACTCCAGCCACACACACTATAACACTATATACTCTTTCTACTTATTCCAAGAACCCACTCTTTATTACCTACTTCTATTGTTTGAGATACCTGTTTTCTTTCTTTTTTCTTTTCCTTTTGGATTTATTTACTTATTTTAGAGAGACAGAACGTGAGAGTGAGTAGGGGGAGGGGCAGAGGGAGAGAATCCTTGAATCAGACTCCCCACTGAGCAGGGAGCCTGATGCTGGGATCAATCTTATGGCCCATGAGATCATGACCTGAACCAAAACCAAGAGCAGGACGCTTAACAGACTGAGCCACTCAGGTGGCCCAGGGATATCTGTATTCTATCTCTGCCTATGGAAATCCTATTCAACTTTTAAGGTCAAACTAAAATTCTACCTCTTCAATAAAGTTTTCTCCAATTCTTCCCACAAGAAATAATTGTTCCCCACTCTATGTACCCTAGCACTTTGTACTTCTTTCTGGCACACAGCGAACTGCATCCTCCATTACAGGTGGGGACATGAAAGTTTCCTCAGCCAGAATGAAGCAAACTCCTCAAGGTCATCATGAATCCCCCACTACATTTATGCCAGGGCATCACAATAGTAATAGCGTCCAAACCGCAGAAGGGCCTCTGGAAAATCTCAGCAATGATAAAGTAGTGTAGCACAAAAACACCAAAATGACTGGCATTGTCTCTAACACCTGCTGGTATTATTAGGTGGGCAATACTTTTGTTAGGTTTCTGAAATTTTATCAGAATCATTGTTAGGGAGCAGTAATTTTTTTCTCACCCCTCTACTTCTGAGAGGAGACTATGAAAAGAGTATCACCTTCCTTGTTAAAAGATTGTCTTAGCTAACAGGAAAGATAAATTGTGTATGTGGTTTTTTATTGATGCATGTTTCTTTTTTTTAAGATTTACTTATTTATTTGAGAGAGCGCAAGAGTGGGGTCGTGGCGGGGAGGGGCAGAGGGAGAAGGACAGAGAATCCCAAGCAGACTCTGCACTGAGCACAGAGCCCTTTGTGGGGCTCTATCTCATGAGCCTGAAATCATGACCTGAACCAAAACCAAGAGTCCAATGCTTAACTGACTGTGCCACCCAGGCGCCCCAATGCATGTTTCTTTTGATTTATTGTTAGCACTATATTTGTTCCTTTGAATTACTGGCCTGTGTGCCACAGTGATGAGTAGGATCAGCCTCCAGAGTGGGGCACTGTTGAAGACCCACTTATCTTCTTGTTTGCTTTAATACAAAAGATGCGTATTGGGAATCAAGCAATTCAAAGCCCCGCTATTCAACAGGTTATGTTAAGGGATGTTAAAGTTGTCATTCAAGTGCTACTAAGAGATGAAGAGAAATGAGAACTGATCACTGGATTCAGAAATCTGGAGCTCAGTGATAATCTTGATGACTTCGGTTTTACTGAAATGATGGGAAAGAACGCCTGATTGGAATGGCTTCAAGACACAATGATGGCTTCCACAGAATGGTAAACCAGATTTTCTAAAAGAGCCTTTTTGCTACAAACCAAGTAAATCATGAATAATACATACTGTTTTTAAGAACTGCTGGGTTTGCAGGAACTAAGAAAAATATCCAAGCATCTCTACCACCACAACTGAAAATTAAAACAAAAAAACCCAGAGCTGAAACCTAAGTAGACAACACTGTGCAATACCAAATAAGAAGAAGAAATGAGATAAGTCGAATGCGAACAAATGCAGATACCATCATTAGTAAGACTAAGCCATGGGTCAGCTGCAAGACATGGCACCTTAGCCTCAAACCCTTACATTATCCAAATGCCTCAAAGGGATTTAAGTGGTCTCAGGTTGAGAGTACTCTGGGCTCTGAGCAGAAGCAAATGTCAATCTTTTCTGGAGAAAAGCATCCCAATTTAGGCCTGCAGTACTCCCACAAATGAAGATCAAACAAATATGAGCTTTAAATTAAGTAAGATTAAATTAAAAATTAAATTAAAAAATCACCAAACACATGAGCAAGAACCAACCAAAACAATAAACAATAGCTTTAGACTCTTTAAAGACTCAGATATTGAAACTAATAGTTAAAAACACAAGGAGAAAAATTGTATGTGAAAAAAAAGACATAATAGATGAAAGCATAAAATAAGCAAGCAGTAAGAGCTAATAAAAATGACCAAGCAGATTGAAAAAATAGCTAACATAACTTTTAGAAATTAAATTTATTTATTTAAGCAATCTCTACACCCAACGTGGGACTCGAACTCATGATCCTGAGATCAAGAGCCACATGCTCTACTGGCTGAGCCAGCCAGTAGCCCAACTTTTAGAAATTAAAAACGTTATTGTTGATGTTAAAACTCAAATGGATGGGATAACAACATTTTAACAAAACTGAAGAGAGGACCAATAACTAGAAGACAGACATGAATAGATTATCTAGAACGCAGCACAGAAAAGTTAAGATGTATAATAGTAAAGAGATATAAGAGAAATGAAAGGTAGAATGCAAAGATCAAACAATCCTCTATTCAAAGTCCAGAAGGAAAGAATGAGAGAATGGAGGAAAGGCAACACTGGAAGAAGTAATGACATAGAATATTCCAAAATTGACAAAAGACATCAATCCAAAGGTATAGGAGGCACAATGTCTACCACACAGGGTGAATGAAACACATCCGTGCCAAACTACACTAGACTGAAAACTGAAGAAGTGAAAACAAGGAGACAATCTAAGGCCAGTCAGAAAGAACATAGATGTTACCTAAAACTTGACAGCAAGCTTAACAGAAAAATGGAAGCCAAGAAGAGAGGAAGGAAAATGTACTCAAAAAAGCACTGAAAAAAAAATTCAATATAGATTATTCATCTATTCATTCATTTATATTTATTGAGCAGCTACTCTGTCAGGAACAGACAAAAATCTCTGCCTTCATGGACTTTACACTGTAGTAGTAGGGACAGATAATAATTTAATTAAATATGTCAGATGATATGAAGAAAAATAAAGCAGAAAAGAAGATGGCAATACCAAGGGAAGGAAGAGTTTGTAATTTTTAATATGGTGGTCTGGGAAGATATCACTGAAAAACTGATATTTAGACAAAGACCTGAGGACATGGGAGTGGGGGGAGCTAAGTGGACGGCTATGAAGAAAGCATTAAAGAAGAAATGGTAAGTTGAAAGGCATGTGGCAGCTCAAAGGCATGTTTAAAGGACAGCAAGAATGGCAATGTGGCTACAGCAGTGGAAGTGAGCGAGAATGGTGGGAAACAAGGTTGGAGAGACAGCAGAGCTAGGGGAAGGATATCACATGGAACCTTCCAGATGACTGTTAGGACTTGGGCTTTCGCTCTACATCAAATAGAAGGCTCTTAGAGAGTTTAGAATAGAGCCATCTCATGATCTGATTTACATTTTGAAAGGATGGCTTGAGTCAAAATAGATTATAGGAAGGCACGGGGAGAATCAGGAAAAAGCAGCTGGGAAGCTATTGCAATAATCAAGGCGAAAGAGCACGGTGCCATGTACAAAGGTAGTAGCAATGCAAATGGTGAGAAGTGGTCAAATCTGAAGAAGTGTCAAAGAAAATTTGTTGTGGTTTTGAAGTGGTTTATAACATAGAGGAGTTGTAGATGGACAACTGGAAGGATATAGTTGACATTTACTCTAAAGAGAAAAACTGTGAACAGAGCAAGCTTGGAGGGAAGACCAGGAGCTCAGTTTGGAATGTGTTAAGTTTGAAATGTGTATTACTCACATGGAGATGTCAGAGGAAACAGGAGTGTAGAATTTGTACGGTTTGGACTGGAGACATAAATTTGGGAGTCAGCAGTAAATAAATAGGGCCAAACAAAGATGCTTTCAGATAAATAGCATCTGAGTTTACTGGCAATAGTCCTTCATTAAAAGAATTTCAGGAAGCAAGGAAATAATCCCTGAAGAAAACTCTGAGATTTAAGAAGGAATAGGAGGCAGTGATACTGGGAAATTTTGCTATAAACAAACATCATCAATATAAAATAATGATAATGATAATAATACATAATCTCTGGGGTTCAAAATTTAAAATGGCAAAACTAAAATTCTGGACAATAGCATATATAACATAAGAAGGTTAATTAGAGTACAAATGTAGGATCCTTGAATTGTTGAAGAGGGAATTCAGATCTTAAATTATTTTAGATCAAGTGTCTGTGGTAACATTTCAAGGGTAAGTAGAAGGATAGAAATAGTATATAAGTTTCAAACCAGTAGAGCAAGTTTTCTCAAAGAAAGGGCAAATGGTATTTTGTATGCGACAATTGCTCACTGCACAGAACTGTCCTGCCCATTTCAAGATACCCAGCATCCTCAAACTCTGCCTTCCAAATACTAGAAGCACCCAGTCCAGTCACTGCGATGACAACAACAACAACAACAAGCACCTCCATATATTTAAATGAGAAAGGTGCTATATCAGCCTTACACAAAAACCACTGAATTTCATGGAGAAAACAAGCAAATTAATTTAAAACTTTAGCCACACACCAAAATAAAAGGGAAGAGAAAAAAAAGTGGAAGAAAAAGGAACAGATAAAGAGCACGAAGAAGGAAAAACAAGTCTAAATATATAA